AGAAGAGTGAAAATATCAAGCAATAAGGCAACAAAAGCAAAAATTAAGAAGTGGGACTACTGAAAAGCTTTGGCACAGCAAAGGAAACAATCCATGGAATGAAAAGGCAACATATGAAATTGGAGGAAATATTTGTTAGTTATATATCTGATAAAGGGTTAATATCCAAAATATATAAAGAACTCCTACAACTCAAAAGCAAAAACAGACAAGTTGAATTAAAAATGGGACAGAGGAACTAAATAGACATTTCTCCAAAGAAGTTATACAGGGAGCCAACAGATACATGAAAAAGTGCTCAACATCTGTCATTATCAGTGAAATGAAAATCAAAACCACAATAAATCATCTCACACTTGTTAGAATGGCTGTCCTCATAAAGACAAGAGTTAAGGTTGATGAGGATGTGGAAAAATAGGAATCCTTGTGCACTTTTGATGGGAATGTAAATTGTGTAGCCACTATGGAAAACAGTATGGAGGGTCTTCAAAAATTAAAAATAGAATTACCATATAATCCAGCAATCCTACTTCTGAGTATATATCCAAAGAAAATGAAAAGAGGATAACAAAGAAATATCTGCACCCCCATATTGTCAGCATTGTACTCACAACAGCAAATAATGAAACAACCTGAGAGTTCATCAACAAAAGATGAATTCAGGAAGGGGGCAGTGATAGGGACACAAAGCCAAGTGGACTTTGGCCACAGGATAATTTCTGCGACATGTAATTAAAGTGTCTTAGGCTTTCTTGGCAGATTCTATCCAGGAGCAGGGAAACACACCACAGTTCTTTTACATATCTGCCTTCTTTTGATCTGAATTCAGTCACCTTGGTAATAATGAGAATTTTCTATTAGAATGACTTGTTTTAATACCCAAATTCTAACTTTAAGCCTCATTATGAGGAGCAAAAGAAGCCAGATACAAAAGAGTACAACCATGTTTCCATCAAAATGAAGCCCTAAAATAACAAAACTCATCTATGATGAGAGAAATCAGCCCTGTGGTTGCCTCAAAGAGGGCAGGAATTGAGTGGGAAGGATCATCAGGGAACTTTCTAGAGTAAATATTCTATAGCCTGATATAGGTGAGAGCTTATGCATTTGTCAAAACTCACCAAAAAAAAAAAAAAAACCTCACCAAACTGTGCATTTAAGATCTGTTCATTTCACTGTAAATAACACCTGTTATTAAAATGAATGTATGCATTTATACTATTTCATATCAAATTAAACATAACTATGAAAAATATATGTGTTTTTCCTTGCAAAGGTCTGTCAGAAACCTAAATTCAAGTCTGTATGTAGTTGTCAGTAGCATGCACAAGAGTATGAATAGGACAGAAACCATATGCCCCTCAGGAATTCTCCCTGGATTTCTGTAGCCATGCCTAAAACAGAAATTCTCACTGGGAAGAGGAAAACAGTGGGAAATTACACCTCCTGATGGTTAAATCAGAACAACCAGGCTGAGTTTTCGAATGTAGAGATGAACTAACTCTCTGGTTCACCCCCAAAGTATTCTGTCAGGATGCTTCCCCACTTTAAGAACCATCTCAGAAGGAGCCACTGTGATTAAAAAGAGCCTTGTAACCCTTGGTTACATTGGGTGTAAGCTCTTGATCCCATGAGGTTAGGTCATTCAGGTTTACCAACCTCTACCTCACTTTATTACTGTCATCTACCAACTTCCTAGGATATCCCCCCTCATTAACTGGCAAATAGGACCTGAATCTTTCTTTCTACCCCAGTTCTTGTCATAATTCTGGGTGATATCAAGGTCGTGTGTTAATAGATGAGCCATCTAGAAAATGAGCCCAGGCTCATGATTCTAGGGTCTTTCACATCCACTCTGCTTTAGCCAAATCACACCTAGAATCTTGTCATCACCTGGAAAGCAACCACATCTGAAAATCTGAAGTGCACTATCCCATTATGAGTCTCACCGTCTTATCCTTCTACTTCTCTTGTGCCTTCAGTCCCACTGTACCTACTTTCAACACTAGAGAGACCTCCAGTTATTTAACCCCCGTAATGTTTCTGTCTGTGAGGACTAGCTAAGGCTTCCGTGCCAACTTAGACTGATATAACAGGATAGGTTGTCTCAATTTTTTTTTTTTACCAGTATCTTTGACACTTTTTTTAACATACTTTCACAACAATACTTGGACAGTAAATCTCCAGCCAAAGATCAAAACAGTATTACTGCTTACTGTTATCTTTATTCTTGTGCACACATGACTAAAGAATGGTTCTAATTGACAAATTTTATGGTTCTAGTTGATAAGTTTTATGGGCATTTTTAATCCCAATTTCACTGAACTGTAGAGAAGTTATAACTGATCATCCTAAAAGAAACACTCCACAATCATAAGAACTAATAAACAAGGTCAGGGGGTTTACAGAATATGAAGTCAACATACAAAAATCAATTACTTTATGTTAATATCCTAGCAGTGAAAAATCCATAAATGAAACTTAGAAAAAACAATTCCAATTGTAGTAGCATTAAAAGGATAAAACATTCAGGAATAAATGTAACAAAAGTATAGTACTTGTAAACTAAAATTATAAAACATCATTGAAAGAAAAAAGGCCTACATAAATGGAAAGACATCCCACATCTAAGAATTAGAAGACAATATTGTTAAGATAAGCAAAACTTTCCAAATTGATGTAGCGATTCAATGCAATTTATTTCAAAATCCCAGCTGGCTTCTTTGCACAAGATGACAAGCTAATTCTAAAATTCATAGGAAATGCAAGGGAACTAGAATAACCAAAACAATCTTGGGGAAAAATAATGGATTTGAGGGACTCACACTTCCCAATTTCAAAACTTACTACAAAGCTACTGTCATCAGGACAGTGTCATACTAGCATAAAAGTAAACATATGGGTCATTTGAGAATAGAATTGAAAGTCCAGAAATAAATTCCCATATTTATGGTCAAATGATTTTTGATGAGGATGCCAAAAGGTTTAGTATGAAGAGAACAGTCTTTGCAACAAATGGTGCTGGTATAAGTGCAGATCCAAATGTAAAAAATGAAGCTGGAGCTTTAGGTTTCAGTCCTGCATGTAAAAACCACAATCTTACCCCCCAAAAAAGTAAAAAAAACACTAAAAATCAGGGACTTTCCTTGGATTCATGAAGCTTAGGTAGCAGGGCAAGTGACCACCCCAAAATCTGGGTGGATAGTAAGGTCACTGAGGTCCACTTCCCTGGAGTGGGAATCACTGGAGCCAGACACTGATAGCAACACTTTTGTGGTAATTCTGACAAATTGCAGGAGCTGAGTGTGGACTAGTGTGGACTAGAATGGGAGAAGGCAATGGCACCCCTCTCCAGTACTCTTGCCTGGAAAATCCCATGGACAGAGGAGCCTGGTAGGCTGCAGTCCATGGGGTGGCTAAGAGTCAGACACGACTGAGCGACTTCACTTTCACTTTTCACTTTCATGCATTGGAGAAGGAAATGGCAACCCACTCCAGTGTTCTTGCCTGGAGAATCCCAGGGACGGGGGAGCCTGGTGGGCTGCCGTCTATGGGGTCGCACAGATGGGGTCGCACAGAGTCGGACACAACTGTGGCGACTTAGCAGCAGCAGCAGTAAGAGAGTGAGAGACTCCTGGAATCTCTGATCTTAGGGGGTCACTCTCACCTTCATGGACTTTACTTCTAGGAAACCCACCAGGTTCTCACAGTGAAGAACTAAGAAAGATCACCTCATGGCTCTGACAGGTGGTGGGAAAGTTTTCCTTATTTGAAATAAATCCAGAGTGATTTCCATAACGAAGCCCTGCCCTTCAGCAGAAAGATTCTACCTGAGTCTTTGTCCATTTGGGAGAAGTACTCTCCCCTGCCTCCAACCCGCAATGTGTTTCCTGTCCTACCTAACAGAGAAGGGGTCTAAGAGACACTTGTGAAGGTCGCCTACCAGGGACCAAAGCATTTAACTATAAAACTACAGAACGCTTTCCCTCCCAGACGCCTCACCGCCACACAAACAGGGCTGTGATATAACAGTGGGCTACAGTTGAAAAGGCAGATTCTGTCTAAGGAGGACTTCTCAGGGTATCATCCCTGGGCAGCAGGGGAGATGAACAGAGAGGCACTGCAGAGACTTGACGCCTCCCGCACCTACACCTCCAGCTACATTAAACAGTAAGCACAGCCCAGCTCATAGTAGACCTGCCTAGTTTCATTTATCCTAGTCATTTCATAAATGTACTGACCTTATCAAAAGTTATTTTACCAAACTTCTGATTGATATAGCAAAAGATGACTAACCTTTCTAATACTTTCCATGTCGTTAGGTATTTGTATTATTGTATCATTTTATTTCTGCCTATTTTGTTGTTCCAATTTCAACCAAAGTCCTTTAAAGACAAAGATTGCATTTTACTTTTCTGTACCTTTCATTGATAGCCTAACTCAGTGATGGGTGAGTGGGTGAGTGAGGGAATGGGTGAGTGAGTGAATGAATGAACGAACAAACCAGCTTAAGATTAACTTTGGGGTGACAAGGGAGCCCCTGGAGGAGGTCTGGCAGTTCTGGTTGTCGTTATTGCTCTGATGGAACTTTCTTGGTCCTGGACATCCTCCCCCAGCGAAAAAGTGTCCAGTGGAGAATGGTCTGAAGTCAGCAGTCTGATTTCTAGTCCTGAGTGTACCATTAGATATCTGGGTGACCTTGAAAAGCTCAATGCTATGGGCTTTTTACATCTCTGTAAAATCAACATTCCTTTCAGATCTATTATTCCAAGATTCTTAAAACCACTGGTCCTTATAAAAATGCAGGGAAAAAACCTACCAAAATAAACCACAAATTTAGCAAATAATATTTATTTTTTATATCCTATTCATATCCAGGATTTAATGAATGCCTGCTGTATTCAGGCACTGTTTTAAACAAGTGCATCACCTGTATCATTCATATGAAAACCATTTCATTCACTTTCGCATAGGAGGCATAGAAAGGTTGTGTAACTTACATAGCTGGTAGTGGAACCAATTTCAGATCCAGGCTGTCTGACTCCCATAGCTGTGCTCTTGATCTTAATGTTTCTCCCAGCACAAGGGTAGAACCAGCCTTCCCTTCCGCCCGTGGAACCACTGGCCTCTTCTGAGATTGTATACTTCATTTGAAAGATTAAAACTGCTGCCTCAATACAGAGTGATAATTCAGAAAGATGTTGTGAGAGAACAGAACTCCCAGCAGAGCAAAGAGATATTTGCTAACGACTTCATTTGGGACCAAGGCCTTTGTTTCATTTGGTATTACAGATCCTGGATTGAGAAATCGGTGTGTGGATAAGCTTTTGACCTGACTTTTGAACAGAATGTCATTCTTTCCTCCAAACCTTATCAGTCATGAGGTTGAAAGGTGGGTCTTGTCCTTGCAACATCACCTATTTTTCTCCTACTGAGAGGGTTCCATTTGATGTAATATTAGGATAGGTTTCTTTCACATGAACTAGGTTTCTTTCATATGAAACTAGATGTAGGAAGCCATCTTAGTCTGCTTCCTCCCACTCCTTACCTCAGCTCACAGGTATATCAGCTACAAGAAATATATTGCGATGGTCAAACAGCCTTTAAAGCTGGGTCAGGAAGAGTAAGTAAACAGGGAAACTTTCCACCATTTGAAATGTGTACTTTGAGTCCAACAAAGTATACAGAGTAACAAGTAAGATAAAGATGATTCTAGAACTAACAGAGATGTGATCAGTGCTCAGTGTTGCTGGGCCTTCTTCCTGCAATTTCAGCCACATTTTCCTCGCATTTTTTTTTCCCATTCCTCCCTTCGCTTTTCTCCATTCAGCTATTCTTTCCCCAATCCTTTTCTTTCCAAGTGCCCCCAGGACTGGTATTGTCACACTTCCTGCTCCTAGAACATTGAGGAAAACAGGCTAGTATGAGGACATATAAAAATCCTGAATATCCACATATGTGTAGCATATATTCACACTTTGATTTTTCACATTCATGCTCTCAATCAACAGGTGAGTATTTAGTGCCTATTCAGTCTTTACAAGTTCTTACCTACCTCCACATACATATGTGGATATACCTTAGGACAGTGTATGTGTGTGTTTCCCTAAGGACTTTGCATTTTAGCTGGAGAACCCCAAAGGAGCTGAAATGGGGGCTTATTCTTGATAGTTTACCATTGATCATGGGTTCAGAGTCTGCCAGGTCTGCAAATTATAGCCTGAGGAAAGCCATTTGGGAAAACTAGCAGAAATAAAGACTTTCCTGTCTGGTGCTTTTATTGGTCTTTCTGGAACTTCTCTTTGAGCTCTGGGGAAAGCTCAAGGACAGGTAGGAACCAGTGACCCTCTCTCATAACCTCCTATCTGTTCACTCAAAAGGTCCTACAAGCTTGGGAAATATTGACACATCAGGTATCATAAATATGATACAATCTATGAAACATAATCATTCCTTTTATGAGGTTTGACTCTAAAGCTTTATAAAAAGTTTTGGCACAAAAATGCCCAAAATACAATATCAAAACCAGAACATGGCTTTTGACCAACCTTATTATACCTTTCTGTTTATCACTGAGCACAGCACCCCTGGGGTGCCCAGCATGGTGTTAGGAGCATTCATGGTCTTTCGGGCCCTTACAACCAAGTTTTGGAGGCTAGGCCGACACTAATCAGATCATGAATCCGGCATGATAAAGTGGAAATAGCCTTTGATTTGGACACTTAAGACTGGCTGTGGCTCTAAATTTCATTACTTACTGGATGTGAAACCTAGTTAAGAAATGTTGTAAAGCTGTGCTTCTGAGCTTAGCTTATGTAAATTATGTATGAATAGAAAATATTTTTATGGTTTTTAGAGAAGAGGGCAAAGCAGAGTAGGATTCCTTGCCAGGTTTAATATAGTCCAATGAAGTAAGCCAGTATTTTGAAAACAAATTGCCACTCATTGGTAGATCAGGAAATCAATTTAATGGGTGGTAACCAGCTCTTTTCTTATTTTTTTTATGAAACAGAATTTTAAAAATCAGTGTATCACATGTAGTAAGGATAAGAGTAAGTTTTGTTTCAGGTAACTTTTATCTCGTGTGTGTCTGTGTACTCTGTTGGAATGGTAAAGTAACTATAAGTCACTTTCAAGAAGTTTGAAAAATGCCAATAGAGATTGCATGCCCTCTCTACTTGAATATTTATAAAATTATTTGGACTAAGCCTGGTTGCTTCTTTAATAATTCAATAGTTAGATTCTTAACTCACTCAAGCCAGTACTTCTTGATTTCTATACCTGCTCAGCTCCGTGGGGTGGCGCCTACAGACATCTTGTTCCCAAGGACATAATCAGGAAAGAAGAATGACCAAAAATTATAGAGAATATTAGGAATATTTAAATGTCACACCAGGTAATCAATACGCTTCAGTTAACAGAATGGCACTGAAGCAGAGGGGAACTGAGATATCCAGGAAGATTTCTAATAAGTCCACCGAGAGCAAATCCTAGGGGCAGCACCATGTAAATGGGGCTGACATCTTGCCAGTCTTCTGTGCCCACAAGCTCCTGCCTGACTGGCTGAGCCCAGCTACCAGCTCTCAGCAAGCATAGCCTGGGTTTCCCTCCCTTGCGTCATCTTCTCTCAGCCCTAACCCTGGCCAGTCACCATGCACAGTTACAGGCCAGGAGAGGGCAAGAGACAGGCAGCAGAACAACGTGTCATCTGAGATTTACGACATTTGTATTCTTGAGCTTCTGCACTTGAGGGGAACCTTTGCCAGTGGGGTGTTCTCACAGAAAACTGATCTCTGCACTGACGAGCTATATCAACACATCGCTGTCCCACACAACCCAGTGTGGCTCCAGTATTGAGGCGCTGTCCAGGTACAGTGGGTCTTTGGAACAGCGCCAAAGGCTTTGGCTCAGAAGTTAAAGCGATGTCATAGGTCACATGTACTTTAGGAAGGTGAGCCGCAAAACATCCCTGGAAGCATGGATTGAGTCGCAGCTTTGGGACTTCCTTCTCTGCCTCCTGTCCCCATCTCTCTCTCTCTTTCACACACACACACACACACAGCAACACCCAGAGGAAAACCTGATTCTAAGGCTTCGTGGACTCCATTTGAAGCCTTTCTCTGCATTCTTTCCATAGCGTACATTTTCCCTGTCAAGACCGTCATTTCTGGACCTGTGGCTCAGCACACTCATTGGCTCATGCCAGGATTTCTTGGTGACACAAGAGCAGTTAACTGTACCATTTATTGAAGGATGGTGTTATTCTAGCATCTAATATCACGGGCCAAAGCACCAAAAACCACGGTCATCCTGACAGCAGTGACCTCACTCATAACTTGCCCAGTGTGGTCAGGCTGGGGTTGCTGGTGCCAGCATGTGGGTGTCCCTGACAGCCAGCACTCACCCAGCGCTGCCCAGGCTTCCCAGTTCTCCTGAAACCCTCTGTCCTGAATGCACAGACAACGGGCTGCAGTGGGGAGCACTCGACCTCTGGAGATGCAGGCGGTAGTGCATTGAGATTCTCAGAGCCTTCCTCCTGGTGCTCTGGGGCTCCCAATGTCTAAGAGCACCAACTCCAACCCCTGGTAAATCATTTATTGCCAGTAAATCTGAAATCCTGCTCCAGGCTAGTCAATGCACAAGGAAGTCTAAAGATACAGGGACAAATTAAGTCTGAACCTGATCCTCTAGTTGTCACAGTAAGCAGCTAAGGCATTGTTGGGGTCTGGATGGGTTCCAGGGACTTCACAACCTCTTGAAGTTCCATGCAAAACTTGCTGGCCATTTGTAGCTATTTATAGTAAGAGGATACTAGCTAGGATCAGATCATCAAAGGGCAGGGTTCTGTGGCCCCCAAATGTTTAAGAACAATCAGTTTTTTCAAGTATAATCTTTGTATGTTCTCACAGTAAGAACAGTAGTTTTGTAACCCTGGGTAAAATGGAGACAAAGATCTTTTGAGTAACAGAAACTGGTGTCTATATGATTTACTGTCCCAGCATCTACTTAGTAAGTGGTCAGTTAACAGATTCTAGTGGCCAGAGTGTTACTGCCTCAGTGGGAATGCGTACCCTGTGGAAGACTAGCTAGAAGCACTTTGACCAAATCTAAGGGCTGATTTCCTTAAAACGCAGTGTCATATGTTACTAATCCCTGTGCTATTTGTGTAAGCATTGGTTTCTGATCCTACCATAGCAGCATGTTCAAAAACAAGTAAATAGAAGATAGTCCATTTGTTATGCAATACAGCAGTCCCCCAGTTTCTGTCATCAGTGTGAAGAGGGTAGATTTCCCCACAGTGGATTCTGTTCCTCCAATTCCTCATTCCTCCCAGAGGGATGGGATGGGGAGGGAGGCGGGAGTGGGGATCGGGATGAGGAACACATGTAAATCCATGGCTGATTCATGTCAATGTATGGCAAAAACCACTACAATATTGTAAAGTAATTAGCCTCCAACTAATAAAAATAAATGAAAAAAAAAGAAAAAATAAATAAGTAAAATAAAATAAAAATAAATAAAAAATAAATAAATAAAAACACTGAGAGAGCAGGCTATGTTGACTCTACTGTATCCAGCTAGGCCATGATGTTTCTTACTGAGCTGGCTTGTTGCAACTCAGAGTCCCATTTGGCTAATTGTTACCTGATCACATTGTGTATTTATAGTCTGATTTTTAAAAATTTGAATCTGGCTGATTCATGTCAATGTATGACAAAACCCACTACAATATTGTAAAGTAATTAGCCTCCAACTAATAAAAATAAATTAAAAAAATAAATAAAAATAAAAATTTGAATCTAAGAAAATCTAAAAATGTATCCTTTGAAACTAGGATATTTATCTTTCATACTGGAAGAGACATTCTTTTCTTTATTGCTGAGTATCTGAGAAAAAAGTTTACCTGATGTCCTCTAAATGACTAAATAACTTTTACACAATTGTATAATTTAAATCAAGGTGTTTTTATCAAAAGATTAACTATGGCCTAATTTCACAGCTTGTAGCTTTCCTGAGCTCCAAGAAGGTTAATCCCATGCCTAAATTGGGATTGTTTCTTTCTCTTTTTATGAAAATACCTAATTATTTAAGTATTAAGTTTCTTACAGATAATTAATGTCAGCAAAATTAATTCATTCACTTTTAAAAGCAGGGATCTGCAACAAGAGAAAAATTGGGGCTATAAAAATGTTGTTGCCCTCTATTCATTCTTTCCAGTGTTCTAAATCAATAACTATCTCTATCATGACTGAGTCATTACTGATAGAATAAT